CCATACCGTGACGCACTGCGAGTGCTAATGTCCATCGAGCCTCGCGTCTAGGCTTGTCGTCACTTTGTGTCCACTTGTTTGCCAAATCCAAGTCATCCTCCAAAAACATCCTGCGTCTGATTTCCGCTAAAAGCCATTTAAAACTTATGTCTCGAATATAGATGTCCTTACCATAGTCGAGGGCAAGCTCGAGTAACGGTCTTATATTCCTTTCTTGGTCCTCAGTTCGGTAGCCTATATCGTTCCTAAATTTCAAAACAACATCCCGGTTAAAGAACCTCATGCAGATATCCTCTGTGGCTACTTGTTAGACGTCAGCAGCAAATGGTGTCATACATACCGATCTTGACTGCGCGTTTCAAGAGCTCCATGACAGGTTTTTCGTCAACCTTCTGTCTAAAGTATGCAATGGCATCGTCGGTGAATACAATCTCGCAAAGTTGAGCTGCATAGAGAATGAGTGCCCGTGTGTAAGAGCCAGTTGAGAACGGTACCATGATCAAGAGAGGCGGAGAGCAGATGTATGTATTCTTTACGGACATCCCAGCTGTTAAATGTGCGAATGTTCTCCAGCATAGCAGGTGTGTTCGCGTCGAGTATGTAGGGATATATTTCATCTGTGTAGTATCAGCATGAGAGCTTTTGTCTACAAAAAACTCACTTTGATCGGCGCACAACACTAGGAGCTTGACTGTAGCCTTTTTCGTCTTTTCATTCTTGCTCAAGAGAAGTTTACGAAGAGGCTGCAGGATATCCTAGAGATGGATATATTTGATCACGAAGCTGCGGTGAACGTCGTAGACAAGCTCACAACAAACCAAGGCGATGACTATGAGCTATGGCTCCATCACTTGGATGCGATGGTCTGGTCTTGTACGTTACTCTGTAATTTTCGGACTATTACTCATATCACACTAGATGAAGGATGTTCTGCGCTCATGGGAGTCGATAACGTCATCTCAAGACTCATTTATGCATTACCCTCTGGAACACCCGATGCGCAATTGAAACTTCTCGGCGCGCTCTACACGTGCAATCAACAAGACCGTAAGGTTCAAACATGCGGCGATATCCATGTGCTCATATTTTTCAGTTCTCTTGTCTCTTCCTGATAAAGCCTTTGATGTTATCGTTTCCATAATCTGTGGGGAGTACGCGGCATTAGTACGCGGGCGGGCGATGAAGCTCTTGTTCCGAACAAAGCTGGACGGTCTGTGTCTTTAAATGTCCCCTCGTCAAGTGCTGATTAGGTTACAGAGGTTTTTCAAAAGAAGCTGCTTACAGAATGTATTTTTGATACTCTTGCGACTTTACTTGTGGATTCGAACGCGGAGGTGGTGAAAGAAGCTTTGGAGGCTCTGAAGGGTCTTTTATTATATCGTCCGTCTCACGTAGCTAATATCTCCATGCACTCACATGCATACAGTCACTCTTGCCAAAAGAATTGTCACGACAGACACCTACTCTGCCTTGTCGCCTAACCTACAGTTTTCACTTTCATCAGAGGTCTTTCGATGCTTGACTCTGGCTTTACAATTTGGTAGGTCTCGATGCTTCATGACGACATTCAACTCAACGCTAGACAGACGACATTCGGCAAACGCTATTCGATAGCAATGCTAT